GGAGCACTGTCATATGGCATCTCTGTCTCTGTCTGCTTCTTGTTCCTCAGTTGCCTTTCCTGCCTGGCTTTCTCTTTCTCTAGTCCCTGTGTCTCTTATTGTCTATCACATACTCCCTGAATTTCTGCCCATCCACCAAAAATGCCATCGATTGCTCCTATTGTCACATTTCAATTTGTGTCTTCAACTCTGCTTCCAGTTTAGGTAGTATTTTCTAGAGTTTTGCTTTTCCTTTTCTTTTAGAAGATCTGCTCCCTGGTTTGTAAATCAACTTGGACCTGAAACTTTTCTCTCAAATTCTAAGAAAAGTGTCCAGTTCTTTTCCTACTTTTGGACACCTTCAAAGAGCTCCTTGTGAACTTGAAGATAGTTATTTAACTACACAATTTCAACATCGTGCAACTGCAGCAGGCTTTCTGTGTGGTCCTCAGCATAGTAGGGAGCGAAATCTTGTCTCTGCTCCTGGCTATAAAAACAGCCAGTACTGAGCCAGCTCCACTTGAATTGCCTCAGTTACTTTCCTCAAGTTTTGCATTTTCAAATTCTTCCATTTGATCTACTTCTATTGTAGTGCTGTCCTGACTTTGGCGTTTCACCGGGTTTGACTCATGGCATCAGCTTCTGTCTCTTCCTCAGCGTTTGCCGCCTGTCTCAGAGCTCTTGGAGCTCCTCACACACTGCTTCATTTTGTGATTTTCTCATTTCCAGCTGCCGTAGCAGCTTTTGTAGTGTTGTAATAGTCTCTAAAGACAAACAAAAGGTATCTTCATCCTCACACATCCTCTTTTTCAAAGCTGGTACCTGGAGTGTGATCTAATTCCTTCACACATAGTATGATTCGTCTCTTCAAGTTGAGAAACTCCTCACGCCTAGATGCCTTTTTGCCCTCAGAGCTGCCAGTTGTTGTCTGAACCGGTTTAACACAGCTAAGCTGGGCACACAGGTGCTGTCAGTGTCATATTGGGGTGTGCAAAGAACTTCGAAGTTCTGAGCTTGTTCTTGAAGTAGCTTGAGTTTCTGTTTCCTGTCCTTTTTCTGTTTTCATCTTAATTCCGCCTGGGTACGCAAGTCCTTCTAATGGAAGAATAGTTGTTTCTCTTTCTTCCTGAAGTAGCTCGATGTGTAACACCCTGCACAGGTGTTCATCATGTTTTGGCAGATGGATATGCTTTTGATAAATTTTTTGTTTAGGCTCAGTCCTCAGCAAGCATCAGATCCGGGAGATCTTCAATATGTTTCTTTAAGACTCGGTTCTCTGTAAGTGCTGGTCCTCTGGAATCCCAATTGATTCCCGTATTTCCTGAAGGTGTTGTAGAGCTTTCAGGAGACATCCTATGAACTCCTCTGCCAGCACTCACTTCTTCTCATAGCCACTGCCCCTGCCCAGCTGGGAGGGGAGACCCCCAGCTCCTCACGTAGGTCCCAGTACAGCCACCACCGCGGACACTGACTGTCCCTCTCCACGCTGCTGCTGGTTACATCTCTGTACTGAAAGAATTTAGTTTTAATTTCAACTTCAAAAGCTGGCACTTCCATTTTAAAGATTATAATCTGACATTCGCAGAGTGCCATATATTTTATTTTTGTCTTTCAAACCAGTCTCTCAGTGTCCTACTTTTTACATAAAAATATAACATTACACATTCTATTTTGAGTTGGCATTTCTAAACAGAAATTTTCTTTCTAGGTAGAATGGGGCTTCTCGAGCCTACACAGAGCAGGGTTTCTCACCAGGCACTACATGTAGTAAATGAACACAGGCAGGGAAGGTGTCTGTGGACAAATCGTTCCACTTAGAAGGTAGTTAGTTCAGCTCAGCTGGCATCTTTTTCCCCTGGGCAGTTCATGCTTCATTACCAAGGCTTGAATCATGAAACTGGGACACGTGGGAGACACACAATCAATAATTATAAAATAATCATAATAATGACTGCTATTTATTGAGTACTTATTATGTGCCTGGAGCTATGTTAAATGTTTACATGTATTATCTCATTTATCTTCAAAACAACCCTGTAAGATAGGTACCACTATTATCCCCAGTTTTAAAATGTAAAATGACATGTCAATTTTGAAAGTATTGTAGCACATTTTAGAAAGTTATGAAATACAGACAGACAAAAACTAGATGTAAAACACTATCTTCTACCGTTTAGAGAATATTCACATTAAAAATATATTACATGAACTTTTAGAATTTATAAAACCTATTTATTTCTCACCAAGTTTTATTTTTAAAACTGTGTAAAAACCTACAAAACAATTTCTTACTTAGAAAATATGTAGCCTACACCCAGAGTAAAATTTGGACCCTTTTGTTCTGTTTGCATTCCTGTTTTAGCAGTGTTAAGCATTCCTAAATCTTGGATGAGTCCAGCTGAGTATCAGGCAGGTTGTATAAAGGGAAGTGGGAAAAAATAAGTATATTAAAGCATTCCAAAAAAAATTGTTATTTTGGCATGTAAGTTGGCTATTGCTACTGAAAATCACAAAATATCAGCTGCACAATTAGCTTTAACTAGTATAAACTACAAGAATTTATTCTTTTTCTAAAATTTTTTTCTGACAAGGTTTCACTATGTAGTTCAGGTTGGCCTTGGGCTCACTGGGTAGCCCAGGGTGGCCTTGAACTTTAACTTCAACTGCCTTTAGCCTGCCAAGTGCTGGGATTATAGACGTGTGACCACACCTGGCTAAGAATTTATTCTCAAGCACACATTTTGGGGTTATCTGGAGTGGTTCTTAGGCTGCGAGTCTGCAGGTTGGCTGGGGTGGCATATTTTGGGACCCAGGTTAATGGTAATAGCATGGTACGTTTTTCTGATGTAGATGGCAGAAGCAGAATGGGGCAAGCCAGATGCACAAATACAAGTTCACTAATAGCCCACGGGACAAACAAGTTAGGTGTCAGGAGTACAGATAAGGGATGAAGAAGTACCTACCATGAGTATCCTTAGCTTTAAGGCCGAAGTAAAGGTACAGATTTATTATACTACTATAGACAAATGGAAATTTGGACTAATAATAATCTATCATGCCTACTCCCAAGTATATTATTTACTCATGTATTCATCCATCTACCTTATAAATATATTATATACACACATATATATAATTATATATGTGTGTATATAATATACAGAAAGTAGCATATATATAATGTACACATGCATAATCACATATAGATACACATAAAAGATATAGCTGTATAGAAATTTTTCCATGAGATATGAAAATAGGGTGGCATATGAAAGCTAGGTGACCAGTTAAGTCTCATAGACTTGGCATAAATTAAGAATGTTTTAGTGACTGATATACTTAAGAAAAATATATAAAGAATAAGTATAAAATTATTACAGGGCAAAGTGGAAATCCCTTTTATTCATGTTGGTAGGCTTTCCACTGCTATGACAAAAAAATCAAAGAAAATCTACTTAAAAGAAGGAAAAGCGGGGCTGGGGATTAGCTCAGCGGCATAAGCACCTGCCTTGCAAGCAGGCAGTCGTGAGTTCGATCCCTGGTACTGATAAAAATGAAAAAGACAAAAAAAAAAAAAAAAAAAAAAAAAAAAAGGAGGAAAAGTTTCTTTGGCCCCCTGTTTCAGAAGTTGATGTCTATCATCCCTTGGCTGTGCTAGTGAGGAGGCACATCATGGCAGAGAGTGAGCAGTGGAACAGAGCTACTGACCTCAGGGCAACTGGGCGCCAAGAGAGAAAATGGAAGGGGCTGGGCTCCCAGTATCTCCTTCAAGGGCACTTCCCTGGTATCCCATCTGGCTTCTTCCCATCTGGCTCCGCCCCTTAAAGGTTGCACCATCTCTCAACAGTGTCACAGACTGGCAACCCTGCTTTTCACACACAAGGGAGCAGGAAGATATGAAAAAGTCCCGCAATTCCATGTGCCTAGAGAACTTGTGAGGCGGGGCTGGGTGAGAAGTGCCTTACTTCTCATGGCTAGGTTTCAGGAATCAGCAGACATCAAATTGGTCAGTTACTTCAGATGAATGATTTTTTTTGTGGTGTATTGAGATGGAAGCATTAATTATTTTTGTCTGTGACTATGAGCTAGTTTCTCCTGTCTCCTTGAACTCTTAAATTCTATAATCCTTTGACTTTTACTAAGACTTACAGTTGAAGCAGAATGAGCAAAATGTTTCTCACAGGTGGTTAGGTAGAGAGAAAGGAACAAAATTTATATGTCAGGAATCAAACCAGTGTCCTCCAGATGAATGTTCTTGATCTGCATAATATTGTTGTTCTTGTGCCTTTTAAATTTTTTTTCTAATTTAAGACTCTAGAAGCTAGTTATGCTTTTCTACCCAAGGGTCTTGCCTTTGATCCATCTGTTCTACTCATTTACATTGCATAGTCCTGGAAGACATTTGAGATTTTGATCCCTACTCTAAGTGTTAGGGCCCTGTTAACTGCTGATGGGAACATAGAAAGCACTGAAAAAAAAATGAGGGGAAAACAGAGGTAGGCGAGCACTGAATCGTGAAAGTCAGGATTCAGTGGCAAACTACAGAAGTACAGATTTAGCTGTGATTCAGAAGGCTGAAATCAAGCTTATTAAAATCTCTCTTTTTTTTTTTTTACAACTTGACTAGATTTCAGATTCTGCCAAGAGTAGAAACAATGTCCTTTCTGTGTTCTGAAACTTTATCTCGCAGAAAGATTACAGTGCTATACTCACAGGTGTAAAGAAAAAATTTAAACTCTTCAATTTCAAAGGAAAGAGCGAGGAGATCCTAGAATCAGGAAGAAAAACAGAACAAAGAATTGAAAGCCTTTAATTCTAGCCTTTCCTTTTCAAATAATAATAAGGTTTTTGTCTGAAATAACCTAGCTAAAACAGTTGTTTTGCACACTTACCACGTTTCTGGTAGCAGTGAGAAAGCTATGTGCAAATATATTTGAGAAATACTCCTCTTTTTCATAAGCTGCTTTCTGTGGATCGACTGTTTCCCCTAATGTGTTTTCTTCTGTGCACCCCTTCTGTAGAAACGACCTGTTGATGGTCTGTCGCCAGCTGAACATGGAAGAGTCCGTGGTTGAGATCATGAACCAGTTGGGTGCAGATGAAAACGGGAAGATTTCCTTTCAGGATTTTACAAGGTGTCGCATGCGGCTAGTTCAAGAAATTAGGAAGGAAGAAGTAGACCTCTCCGTGAAGTCAGACAACTGCTGTAAAAAGAAGCTGAGGGACCGAATTGCTTCCTGGCCCACGAGCAGTGACAACAGTCTGGGTAGGTACAACTAGGAGGTAGGGTGACAGCACCCATTAACTCCACTGTGTGATCACAAACAAGACTGTGCTCCCCAGGCTCCTGCCCAGTTATTCTGGGGCCACCCTCTTGGCCACACACACACACACACACACACACACACACACACACACGCACGCACATGCGCGCACACACACACACACACACAAGCACACACGTGCCTTGAGAGGACGCTCAGTGTTTTCCCCAGTTCTGTTCAACAGTTCTTGGGTTTCCGTGCATAATAGTGATAATGCTGAGTCACACAGCCTGGGAGAGAGGGCCAATGGATAGGGAAGGGGGTAACTGCATCAGCAGGGCCTTCACAGCTCAGGGCTGAGGCTATTTATTTACTTATTTTGTTTATTTATTTTTGGTACTGGGGATTGAACTCATGACCTCCTGCTTGTCAGGCAGGCATTTATACCACTGAAAGTAAATCCTCAGTCCAGAGCTGAAGTTTTTAAAAGCCATTTGTTTTTTATTTAACGCTGGAAATTTTTTCTATATAGTTTTCTTGCTTGCATATTACTATTTCTTTTAGGTACAAGATAAGCAGTAGGAAAGAGTTTTTAACAATGTTGTGGGCTGGGGATTTAACTCAGTGGCATAAGTGCCTGCCTGGCAAGCACGAGGTCCTAAGTTTGATCCCCAGTACCACAAAAAAAAAAAAAAAACAAACAAAAAACAAAAAACAATGTTGCTCGTTACAGAAATTGGGTGATGGGACTTCTTACATTTATTTTTGAGTAATTATATAATATAATAATACTATAATAATATGTACTATAGTATATAATATGTACTATATACTATATATAATATATATATTAGCATGCTTGAACTTGTACATACATGGTGAAAAGAAAAGAGGCACCTTAAAAAGTAGCCTAAACAAAGAATCAGAGAAAAGCATCTGAATTTTCTACCTATATACTGCAGGGTCCCTTCCACTTTGAAATTGTCTCCTGGATCTCTTTTAATGTTTCTCTCTCTGCTGAGAAAATCTAATAACAAGAAGGTGAAGCTCCATGTTAATTGTCCATAATTTATTTTGTCTTTATATGTACTAATTAGCATAGATAATTATGTAGTGCCTCACAGCACACACACACCAATAAGCAATGCTCGTGACACAGGATTACTTTGCGGCACTACTACTGGATAACTGGAACATCCACGTATACTGTGGACTCTGGACCCTACTACCTTAATGGATTCTACTTTAGCGACCATTGAAATGTCTGGTAATGTGGGAAATGCATATGCTTTCAGTACAATACATAGAAATATTTAATTTGAAAAAGCTTTTCTTCTGAGTATTAAGGTAGTATATGTTCATTCTAGAAAAAATTTAAAGAAAAGGATAATACAAGAAAATAACAATCATCTTAATCTCACCACGCAGTGTAGTAACGCAGCTTACGTTCGATATGGCTACTCCTTTTTTCTCTCCCTGCCTGCCCATCCTGGCTCTTATCTTGTTCTTTCTCCTCTCTTTGCACAAACATACCTGCACCAGATTTCCTTTCGTCTCCTAATTTTTACTCTTTTTAATGCTGAATATTGAACTTTGAGCTTTGTATATGATAAACATGTGCTGTACCTCTGAGCCTCACCCCCAGGCCTTTTTTTAAACTACTTTTTCCACATGCTTTCTACATGGCTTTGTATCTTGCAATTTTTCCTTTTATTCTCTTCATGCTTTTATATTATACTTAAAAGCATGATTTGTGATGATTACGTGACATGAATAGATACTCACTAAATATCTATTAAATACAAGAATGAGTGGAATTCTTTCTGCCAGCTGGTTTTTCTAATTTTCTGCCAAGAATTTGGGTTTCTTATACAAGTACACAAGTGTGCATAGATATGTATATATATTTGAAAAGTTAAGTAAACTGTGGAGCGTCCCAGCAGCTAAATACCATGAAGTTATTGAAATAATGTAAAATGTGTATCAAATTTGAACATGGAAGAAATACTTTTGTGAGAAAACTATATTGTTTAACTGTCAAAGTATATATTAGAGGTTTGTACATATTTTGAAAGGTTTGTACATGTATTTGAAAGAATACTAATTGATTTAATCATCATGTGAAGTTGATTCAACCAGAAAAACCTTGAAAAACAATTCTCTTTCATCCTTTTTTTATACACTTGAGAAAAAAGAGGTAGCTGAGAAGGAGAAATGTTGACAGCTTTGTAATTTTTATTTTAAAGAGAATAAAACCAGACAAAATGAAACAGAATAAAGCCAATCAAAATAAAGCAGTGTAAGTGACACATGACTTCATAAAACAAGATAATGGGAAATCAATGATGGTTACCACAATGCCTCTTTTTGTGTTCAAAATAGCTGCCCATACCTTCAGACACAGTAAAAAAAAAAAACAAAACAGAATAGAACCAATAAAAACAAAACAATGAATGCAATACAGGACTTCAGAACAAGATAATAGTAAATCCAAAATGGCTACTGTAGTATATCTTGTTGTATTTGAAATAGCTGCCCATGCCATCTGATACAATAAAATTAAACGACAAACAGAATAAAACCCAATCAAACAAAACACTGAAAATGATACAGGACTTCAAAACAAGATAATAGGGAGATAGCAGTGGCCACCACCTTCAGAAGGAGATCCCCATACATGCTGCCCTGATTATCATTATCCTCTGAATAGGTGATCAGAGTAATGGCTTGAGGCCTGCAAAGTCAGTGAAACACTAAGCAGTACAAGCATTATGTCGTATTTTACCACAATAGTTATCATCTCAGCCTTTGTGGGGGTCAGTTGGTCGCTTATGGGGAGAAAGGGAGGCCCTTTGGCTCTTCTTGTCTCTCAGCCTGCACGCCGGAAGGCGCTGGCATCTGGGTCTCCCCTCAGCGGCCTGCACGTGGCACTGGCTCAGAGGGAGGGCTTGGCTTCTTGTTCCCCTCCCCCAGAGCCTGTGAATGGTACCTACTCAAGGGAAAGGGCTGGCATTTGGTTCTCCCCACAGCAGCCACTCATAGCAACTCTGGGAATTTTGAAACCTCTGACCATTTTGTCCTGGTAGGTAAGGCTTCAGCATGTGATTATCTGAATATGAATCCTGGTTCTGTCACTTCTTGCAGCCTTGACACTAGAAAAATTGCTTAATTTCCCTGAGTGACTGTTTCACTAAGTGTAAATTGGGGGCAGTTACTGTTATTTGGAGGAATAGATGAGTTAATATGCATTTGCAAGAATATAAAGCAGTGCCTGGTGTGTAATGAATGTTAAATATGTTTATTAATCTGCTTTGAATTTCTCTAATGAAATTCCCTAGGCTTGGTAACTTTATTAAGCAAATAGGTTTATAATTCCACAGGTTCAAAGACCTACATCACATAAGGGCCTTCTTTCCAAGAGAGTGCCTGAGAGACCCAGGCCATTACATGGAGAAAGACAAGGGAGCATATGTGTGTCTGTTCTGATTTTGCTCCTTCTTACAAAGTCACTAGGATTCAACTTTGGGGACCCCACCCTGATGATCTCATGTAATCATAATCAACTCTCCCAAATCCCATCTCTAAATATTATTGTTTTCACTCTTTTGATACCTCACAATAGGAATTAAATAGTGACACATAAAACCTTGGGGAGTGCATTCAAACAATATTCAATTGATAATACCATGTTTAATTATTACTGTTATTACTTCCACCCAGTTTTAACTCCTGTAAGTTGTCAGATTGAATTGGAAAACAACCTCCTTCTCAGTCTAACAGGAACTAGTACATGTTAAAATCGACAACAGTTAAAATTTGTGTGTCGTTTTGTCCCTCTGTTTTCTGTGTCATCAGCATTTTCCTCTGTCTGTGTTTAGATAAATTCCAGTATCTCCCCTTTGGAGTGGAAAGAAGCCCTCTCCCAGCTCCAGCCCTCCTCACTACTGCTCCACGTCTCTGCTTCTCTTTACTGCAAAACTTTTTGAAGATTTTGTCTGTATGGAGCGCTTATCTGCCCTGCCGTCTTATTCTTCCACCAGCCCACTGCGATCTCCTTCAGCTCTCCCCATCCCACTAGTCTTGCTCTTCATTGTTTCCTTTTCTGTCCCTGTCTAGCTCTTCAGTGTACATTCTCTCCGTGAGTGTGCTGCAGCCCTGCTGGTCTTCGGTGTGCATTCTCTCACATGTCTCCGTGCTTTTATGTATGTGGTACAAGGCCAGGACTCCCAAATGCATGTGTGTCAGCTGCTGCCCTTTTCATGAGCTCCAGAAGAACTGACACATAATCCTGGTATGTCTAGACCTTCCAATTTTGATACAATCAAGAAGTACTTGATTTTCTTTCTCATTCTTTCTCCCAGGCCCATTCCTCTCCCAGATACCTCCATCTAGGAAATATTTGCATCTAGGAATTACCTCTCTCCACGTGTTTGCTCATGCTGTCTCTTTTGCCAAAGCACATTGCAAATCTGTCCACATTATTTTCTTGCCACCATCCTTATTCAAATTACTATCATATCTTCTAATAGAATAACCTGCAACTGGCCTTTCTGATTCTTCCTTTGATCCGAGATTTCATTCTCTACCTTGCAGTGTGAGTGATGTTTTAAAATTGTAAAAGTATATTTTGGTCATTCTTGTGTATAAGATTCTCTGTTGCTTCCATAACATCTTGTTTTTTCTTTCTTTCTTTAGCTTTGTTTTTGGTCTTTTTGAGACAAGGTCTTGCTATGCAGCTCAGGCTGGTCTTGAACTCACTTTGTAGCCCAGGCTGGACTTGAACTTAGAACTATCCTCCTGCCTCAGCCTCCCATGTACTGCGATTACACACGTGTGCCACCATGTCCTTTTCCCCAGCTCTTTCCTTTGGACTGCACCATCTTCTTTGCAGCCTGTTGAATAAATAGTTAGATTTTTCATGTTATTAACATTTCAAATATTGGCTCTCTTCAGGAAGACCTTCCCTAACTAAAGTAACCTTCCCTCATTCATGCTTTCACAT